CGACATTGAATATTCATACCGATGAGGCCATTGCAGGGCTTTATAGGGTCTTGGGCCATCTCAGCTTGGACGTTACACGTCTAACAGACTCTGACAAGTTGCCCTGATGATGTATCATCATCTAAAAGTAGCTGATAGATGAGACATTACTTCATCCATCAAACCAGATTTATTTTATAGTGATGGATTCCAGTCTGAATGGTGTCTTTTTGTACTTTATGACTTGCGAGAATCCTCAGTGCTAGTCCCAAATGTGCACAGATTAAACACAGCCTCCCTGACCACTTAAAATAAGTGGTTTTTTATTTTATTTTAAAGCAAATAAAATGCGGCCTCAAACTGTGTCTTTGTGACAAGTAGAATTTATTCCTACATTTGTATTTGTCAACCTGAATAGTGTAGTTAGCATATCATGGCTCAGTTAGTGCATTACACAAGGATCAGTGTCACGGCTTCAAGATGATATATGAGGTTTTTAACCATCAAATGTCAGCCATTACCAATCTAAATATATGGAAAAAGTATAAAATATTACATCAAAGGATATATGTAAATTATTAACTTTAGTTTGGCCTAATTGATCTTATCCCAAACAAGGGTGATTAAAGTCCTTTCCCCAAATTCCTAAGTTGTTAAAATCTTGTAAAATACACTATTTGGATAAAAGTACCGGGCCACCTTCACGTTACGCCTACAGGAGCTGCTCGGCCATGTAAGCTCACAGTGCACACTTTCTGTGCTGATGTTAATTCAAAGGGAGGTTTTTCAAAGTCTCCAAAGATATTGAGTCAGCAGAGCGTCTGAGACTTTTACACACTGGCATTTGATCACCTCACTGTGTGACTTTACGTGATCTGTAACTATGTGGCTGAGTTGCTATGATTGATAAACCCTTGCAATCTGCAATAATCGCACTTAAAGCTGATGGGAAGAAACTTACTGCAGCACAGTTCCACGCTCAAATCCAGTGAGCTCTTCAGAACGACCCATGCTTTCACGAATGTTTGTAAAGGAAGATTGCATGGTTAGGTGCTTGATTTCCTACACCTTTGGCAAGTCATTAAGAGGTGTGGCCCAATACTTTTTTGCCTACAACTAAACCAAAAGCTGCTTAGCTAAACATTAAGATGGTACAAAAGGCAGTCCAGCTGTCTTCAAACATACACACTTCACTGGGGTGCTGTTTGCCAAAATAATCTGGCGCATAGCCTTTAGAAAATGCACATTGGTTTATGGGCCTTTTGAGATGGTGAAAGACAGGATGTTGTTACTTTTAGACAGAGCAATGTGAAGTGTTTCACACTATATGTTATGCTCAAGTTTAAACTGTTTGTTTATATTGGTCTTGTAAGGAAAATATGTTTTATATAGATATAAATGGTGATGCATCAGAAAAACTGGCACAAGCTTCATAGGTCTCATTCCTTTAGAGCTATTTTTTCTGAATTTGCCTGAATGTACATTTTTGAATGTGTTGTATTTAACTGCAACAGATGTCTTCCTAAGATCTCAGTCAGGGTGACTCATAAGGCGTGTTTTCCTTGTCATCTGTTTTCCGTGTTAGAAATCTTTATTTGCACTTTCTAACATCCAGAAAGGTAAAATAAAGATCTGACACATTTTCTAAACATTCTCCAAACACTTTATAAAAATGTCACAGTGTTTATTTGAACTAATTTCTCAGTTTGTGCTTTTTGTTTCTCCTAAGAAGAAACATAGATTACAACACTGATATTTTTTTCCACCTCAAAAGCCACATCGAAGCAGCTGAGGAAGCACAGTCGGTGTCGTTTATGAGGTTTAACTCTTTTGGTTCACTGGGTTTTCTTTCTGATATGAAGTAACATCTTCTCTCTGGTTCTTTTTTTCCTTCTCTCTCCTCCCTGCATCTCTCGTTCTGAAGTTCAACAGGATTATAGGAATGACTACTGAGGAGCATTCTTGAACCATGCTCCTCTCCCCCACCTGTGCTCACCTCCTCCTGCGTCCTCTTTTAAAAAGAAAAGACTAAATACTGAAGAAACTCCTGTTATTCCCTAAAGGCTGCCATATTTCCTGGGATGGATAAGTCCTGACACTTTTGAAACTGCAGTCCCTGCAGCAGCGATTATCACATTTTTCTTCTCTGGAGACCTTTTGTTTTGTTTTTTTTAGCTATTTCTAAGATTTTTTTTTCTTTAGGGTTTTTTTTAAAGGCACATCAGTTTAAAAGCAAGGTGGTTTTCTCATTTTAGAAATCGTTACGCCATCATTCGGTGCAGGTTTGTATACAACCACACCAGATTTTCAGACTTCATGCACCCGTGAGTAAAGTATTTTGATAAGAACTGCTTCATTAAACTAGTTATTTTCCCGTGTCGAAGGAAAAATACGAGCAATTTGACTCACTTTTCCACAAAAAACAGCCCCCGCTCGTCGTCAACAGGACCACCTGTCGACAGATACTCGTGTATGCAAAGCTTTGCTGCCGCAGCCTTTGCTTCACCCTGCTCTAAACTCAGATCTCATAAAAGCTAATCTCATCTTTCAAAAGCCAGACAAATCAGCTAAATAGTGATGGATTGCTTTGATGCTGACTGGCTGCTTTCATTACTGAACATCCCAGCTATTAGTGCATCTCAGTTTCTGCAAGATGGACAGAAAATCTCAGTTTTTACGCCTGATATAATGTGATCATTTTCATTCCTGGAAAAATAATCACATCTGGGCGATACTGGGGCAGAGATTAGATCCGTCTTCAGTTCCATTAAACTACTTCCTTATTAACCCAATCTTTTGGACTCTGTCCCGGGTCCTGAATCTGCTTCTGCAGAGAAGTCATTTCACCATCAAAGAAGTAAGAATTGTTGACTGGTTGAAATGATTTTAACCTGCTGTGAAGCTATTTCTGAATCTGTGCATGCCTCACTTTCCCACTGTGCTTCTTTTATACCGTACTCTTGTGTTGGCCTTAACCTCGCTCCACGCTCTCCTGTAGTACTGGCTTTGTGTTCGCTGTGCTGATGCAGAAACACTCCGACTGATCCTAAATATTCCCACCACCCCAGTTCAAGCTTTGCCTCATGGCGCCTACCAGCCCTACAGTCCTCCCTACAATCAGCCACACCACCCTGCTGCAGAGGCTTACGACAACCGAGGAGGGGGTGAGGAGGAGGAGGAGCAGGACCCCTATTATCGTGGTTATCCCCCTCAGTACTACCCTCAACAGCCTTCTCAGCTGGCACACATCAACTACGGTTACCACTTCAGCCCCACCTACTCCGAAGACGTGGAGCTGAGGTCACCGGGCGTCGCCGGGAGGTTTTTGCGGGATGTCGACGTAATGGAGGAGAGCGAGGATGGAGGACTTTAGATGAAAGACGAATTAAAGTCCTCAAGATAAGGACACAACACAGATGTTCCCACAAAACGCAAAGAGCTGAGACATGCATATAAAACACCTGAAACTGTGGCGAGAACTTCCGTCCCTTCCCTCCCGTGTCCCCGGTGGGATCCCCCAGCCCCACCCCCATCAGGTGAAACATTGTAAATAGCTCTGTGGACTCTTGTACCATATCTCTGTAAAAGGGAGGTCCGAAAAGTGCCTGATCTATGTTTAGCCACGCCCATTTGATAATGTCAAGGTAAGACTTGTTCCTTCCCATCTCACAGCCGATTTAGCAACTTTTGTGTGGAGCTGCATGGAAGTGGAACCCGCGCCTCTTGTTTTGGTTGTAACTAACTGGGTTGTTTTAGTTCAGCTGGTAACATTTGCGCAGGCTGCTTTTTTATAATGATGAATCAAGTTTCCTCTAGTTGTCTTTGTTTTTGTACCAACTGTTGAAAAGTGGTGTTCTTAGTGGACATGAAACCCAGACCAATCAAACTCCTTTCCCTGAACACTTAGAAGCACACTTAAAAAAAGATAATTTCTTTTTAATTTGAACATTGGCGCTCGTTACCGTTCTGGATTTTATTTTATTTCGGGGGGCTTTTGTGAATTTAAAGAACATTGTTATGTTCATTATGTTCCCTTTTATTTCTTATGCAAATTTGGGCCTGCTCACTGTGGAAGCTGTTTGCTCACTGGCTGAACTCTGACCTCTTTCTGGAATAAGACCTGAAGTCAGTTATTATTACAAAAAAAAAAAAAAAAAGAAGAAGAAGAAAATCCTCTCGCCTCTCTGTGAAATCAATAAGAACCCCTCTTGCACTGCAGTCAGAAAAACAAGCAGCAGACGTGTTGCTACGAGCTGGTCCCGGTCTGGATTTTAACTGTCAACCGTGAATAGCTTTAATAAGGAATGTGTCTCGCTACCGCACCCTTTGGTACAATATGGACTTATTTATTTTCTATTTTGTTTGCTTTTATAACCAATAAATCTGTAATGAGACTACAAGAATGGGCTTAGGTCATTTGTTTAACAGCGCAAAAGGGTCAAAAACCCAGAGTTTACAACACTTTTGTAAAAACAACATTCAACAAGAAGAGGTTCGTTAAACTGTTTATTAGCCTTTTTACAATTCACTTAAAAGGGGAACAGATTTATCGATGGAAACTTAATAACCAAAAAAAAAAAAAGCAGCTGTGATCAAGTTAACATTTTGGGATTCTCATATAGTTACACATTAACTGGTTTCACTGTGCATCCACGAGCCTTTAAAGGCAGGATCAGCTCTAACAGATGTCACTTTTAATGGACCAGATCGGATCATTTCATGGTGTGTAATCAGAGGAAAAACCCACAGAATCTGATTTTTCTCACAGCTGAGCCACATGGTGAAATCTCAAGCTGTCATTGGATAATTCAGGCCCACCGCGGTCGCGCTGGAGCCGACAGGAGCGACAGAGAGGTTCCCCTGGTAGGATAATGTTGATGTTCTTGGCATCTATGTTATGTTAAGTGCTGTCGAGCTTTGATGCCAGTTCTGCAGGCATAAACTGCGGGCTAAATTTACACAAATCAATAGCAGAGGATGGTGCTGCTTTCAGTGTTGTGTTGATAGAAGACCTTTTTTCCCCCCCTCCATTTCTCGGTCTCATTGGGCAGCCTTCATTTCATCTTGTAGTCTTCAGGTCTGTGGAAAAAATACAACACAACGCATTAGTATGAAGGTTGGGAAAGGACCGATTACAAGGAAAAACATTGATAGAATGGGACAGATGAGAGAGTGGGCAGATCTTATCTCTTTTTTTCCCCCCGCCCCTTTTTTCAAAATGACTTCAGAGACTGTGTCGTTGTTTTCGGTTTTTCCGCTTTAATTTCAAGCAGAGTTTGCAGCAGACAGATATTATCAGAGCGCGCTGTATTGGTTTTGATACAAAGTAGAAAAAAAAATGTTGTTATCAAATATAATAGCTCTGCTATCAGCTACACCCGTATGCTGTCGGTTTTCTGTGTCTGAGCACTTGTTTGTGTGTTGACTGTGTGCGTGTGTGTTGTACAGGGGCGGACAGGGAGCTTACATTCAATAATAATCTCTCGCCTGGGCTCCAAGGTTTTTCTGAGAGAATATTAACAGTGTGTTTAATAAAGGGTAACGATTGAATCGCCCTGGATGACCTTAACCCCATCTCCCCTGACACTCACACACGATCAGTAAAATGAGTGAGGCAGCGTGTGAGCGAATATTAACTAGACTGAGGCCTATCTCTTAAATAAACCAGGATTAGTTTGACCTTGATTGCCACACAGCGACCAGCCTCAGCACACAGACTGATTGGCTGAGGAGATTGAAGCAGTAAACAATAAGAAGTAGCTCATTTATCACCTCGCACAGGCACACACTCTGACAGCAGTGGTGAACGCAGCACCGACATGCTGTACATATCTGCACAAGGCATATACACAGAGTGAAAACTAATGTCAAAGAACACAAATAAAACTATTGGCCCCGTGTGGCACCACTGTACCTTAAAATTTTCATGTATGCATTTTTCTATTTAACAACACGTCCTGCGTCATCACTGTTCAATAGGACGAGGAGCAGAAGAGGGCCTGACCTTCGACCTGGGGGTGGAGCTATCCTTTTAGGAACCAAATCTGCATGAGCCAGTCCCCGCAAATGCTGACACTATTCTCATGTACCCCTAAATAACTATATTGTTTGAATACATCTACTTGGTGGTTTCAATTATTTAGTAGCATGTTTGGTTTGCTGCCTCAGAAAAGTACAGTTAGACCACATAACACTAGCAGTGCTTCTAAACTCTGATCACTCGAATGCTCATTTGAGGTTTTTCAGGGGTTCCCTGCTCCAACACACTCAATTCAAACGATCATCTTTAACCTGCATGCAAAACCTTTACTAATATTTTCCTACTCAAGTAGGAAAAAAGCTGAATTGTATACAGAGGGGTGAAAACACTGATTCTAAAAACTGATATTAGTTTAGTTCAAATGTGCAAAACGTTAGGATCACACGAGCTAAATTGTTCATTTGACTGTTGTGAAGCAGATTTGGTTTTGATTCTGAGAGTCTGAGATTTCTGTGTCGACACAGAGGAGATCAATGGTATTTTGCTTGTGGTGTGTGCAGCACCGCAAACAAAAAACATCAGCATTATTTCCAACAAAACAATGTCAGTTTTGCTCCAAAAGATCACACCACATAAAAAGGAGGAAGAACATGACGAATTTTGCCATTTTGCTCAGTGTAATTGTTAACATGCACCGAATCCTGTTAACAAAATCCCATTAACATTTATTGAAGTGGGACATCACAGAGGCATCCAGCATCTGAAAACCACAAAGGAAACCGAGCTGCAGAAATAGATTCATGTGTTTATGGGGCTTTTACATAGAGAAAGTACGATGGCAGGAAAGCAGGGTTTGGATTCTTTGCCAATAACAACAACACATTTATTAAATCCTGATTTAGCTGCTGTCTAAAATGTTTACAACAACCTGGAGAAACAAAATCCAAGCTTTCGAATTAAGCACCGCAGACTGGGTACAAGAAAGACCATCAGAGGTCCTGGGTGCTGAGCATGTCCGGTGGGTGAAGAGCAGTGACCCTGACTCAGAAGCAGCTGGGCCGCGGGTGGACGGATGGATTGATGGATGAACGGATGCAAAGGCTACTGCTGAGCAGGTGAAGCGAGAACGCTCTTCGTTAACCTGTCAGAACGATGTTTACTGCGGCTGAGGCCAGGGAGAACGGCACGATATTATCATGCCGGCAAACCGCGGGTCACAATGCCAGTCTAATCTCCAACCAGAAAATACTTGACTCAGAAAAGCTATGAATATGATTAGGCCGAGTAACAGATGCTCTCTCACACATCCTTCAGAGAAAACTTGTGTATCCAAGCGCTCAGGAAGTGAGGGAATACAGCTGATTTTCCCAGTGTGCATCTGAGAGAACCGTCCTGCTCTGTTTTTGAGGTTTGGCTCCTCGTTACGATGTACAGTGTCCTACTTTTTTACAGCTTTTCGATCGAGCTCACAATGAAGCCAACTTGCATCAACTTAAAAAAGAAAAAAAAAGTCAGCTTGGGGACAACTACTCCTATTTTCATGTAGTAGTGCACACAGGAGCCAGCTCCTTAGTGGTTCAGCACTTCAGTTCTTTGTGCATCGCGTCACATAATGACAGCTCTAAGTTGGCTGACAATCATTCGCACCGCAGCTACATGTGTTTGTAGTTACGATGAAAAATGTTGCACTTTTTTTTCCTGCTTGAGGAGAAACTGTCATGTCACAATGGCCACAAAAAAAAGGAGCTGTCATACATTTGAATTAGATCCATTTGTGTGCGTGTTGCTTAGTAAGACCATAAAAACATTACAGGACTGCGTCAAAGCAGAAGAAGGAAAACCTGGGTCGAAACCTTCCCGTCTTATAAATATCTGAAGATTGTGCCAGCACACACACAAGTTCACAAGTCGTCTGTTTCTCATTTTAAATGCTTAATTTAAAGCTTTGCACTGCTATTTTTTTTTTAAGATAAAACACAGAGTAGGCTGGCATAGAGAGAGGGACTGAGATGGTACACAGTTCAACATCACCCCCTTCTGGACCATCCTCATCAACACAAGACTGAGTGTGACGCGTCACCATGAATGTTTCAATTTCTTCAGTATAAATGCAGCAAAATGGGAGACGGTGATAATTTCATTGGCCAATAATTTTCATCAACAACCTTTTTCTCCTCCTAACGAAAATGTGATGATAACAAACACTATGATGAAATGTGATGAATGTACTGACACTTTAATCCCGAATAAAAACGAGATGAAAATATTTTGGAGAGATTGCATGATAAGAACTAATTAAAGTTGTGTAGAACGGCGGGACGAGTTTGGAGGTGATCCAATCAGAAGTAATCTTGTGCGGTAAGGTTAGACAGGCACATTTGATCTGGTAAAACCAGCGCCCATCCTCCCTGTTTCTCATGAAAACGAGAGAAAATTTCAACACTTGGCAGAAAGATCAGAGTAGAAAAGGAAAATAAGACACTGAGAAACTCTCACCGGTATAAATACTACAAACACTTTCTTTTAATCGACAGAATTAACTGTAGATTTACTCTGATGTAATCTTGTGTTATTTAGTTGACTAAAAGCATTTAAATACCTAAATTATGACTAAAACTAAATCAGAATTTGCTGTCAAAATCAACACTGATGGGAGTTTGGGCTTCTTTTTGGATATTAATTGAGAGTTACGCTTCTACATACGGTGTCCACAGCCTGGGGAAGGCATCGATTTCCTCCTGAGTATACTCGCTGAGCTTCTTCGGTATTTCTCTGGGCTGAGGCAGCTCCTCTGTCAGGTTGGCTTGAATGTCATATGGCAGCTCCTGGAGAGAGGTGGATGAAGGAAACGTTAAAGGCATTTGATCCAAGACACAAAAATTCAAAGAGAAAAGGGAGGAAATGGGAGAGAGGAAAGAATTTATAGCAACTGACACAAATAAGGAGACTGTGTGTTACAAATGGTGCCTTATTCAAAGGCCTGGAGGAGGTTTTAAGCTGGGAATAACACGGAGGAAAAGAAAAATAAATAATCAAAAAACACCAAATGTTCAATAGAAACACTGCCTAAACTGTTGTGAAATGCCTCAGGCTTAGAAACGCCATCTCTAAGTACTACTTAGATTCTGCTGTTAGGACCAAAGTCAGGTAATCAGTCGTTCCTCTGTATATGGACACATTCATTCACAGTATTACAAATCAAAATACCTGATGATGGCACTCCCACCATGATAGTAATTACAATCCGCTGATATTTAGATGGACCCCGTGTGTCAGTTAACAGCCCATCAAGCACTTTCTATATTAAATTCATTCCAGAGGCTGTGATGTGTGACGCTGGCTCTAGCCAGTGTAATTTGAAACCAATCAATATGCTCTCAAGTGCCAAAAATGCACGCGAGGCATAATTCACTGCGGCGATGATACGACGCATCTGCTCCGCTTTAAATCAACGACTGAGACAGGACAGTTTGTCAACTCTGATAACCGATTGGACGCATTATTTACATTCAGCCTCAGCTGCATTTAATGACTTTTGGCAGCCAATAAGATGTCATTTTCCACAGTGGGCAGAAAACAATACTTCACTGACATCGACAGTCACTCGTTTATTTACACGTCCCTATTTACATAATCCCAGTATTAGCATTCATTGGAGGTGTGTTTACTGGCTGCCCTGTAAACTTTAATATTTCCTCATTTTATACTGTTTTGGTGTACACTACCACCTAAGGGTCTCTTGAACAAATGGCCAGTTACATATGCTTTCAGGTACACACTTTGGGTTAATCTGACGGCATTTAAGTACCCTAGTTACTTTTAAGTAACAGCTGCAACAGTAAAGTTACCACATCAGACCCAAATAAATGTACATATCACCTTTAACATGGCGCAAGAATTTACACTAATGTAGTCGCGGCCCCCTCCCTGAGCCTGGCTCTGCCAGAGGTTTCTTCTTGTTAGAAGGGAGTTTTTCCTTCCCACTGTCACCAAGTGCATGCTTGTAGGACATTATTGGGATATTTTCTCTCTTATTGTATTGTCTCTCTTACGATATAAAGCACCTTGAGGTGGTTAAATTGAATAATAAAATAAAATAATAAAATTAAAGCAAACTAGTCTAAACAAAGCCAAAAAAGCTCCCCCATGAGTGGAGGCAGTTTAGCACCAAGTGACACACAAAACTGCAGTTACAAAAGCATAAACACTTCCCCAGAGTTGATGCTTATTAAAGTCAAACTACAATAAGCCTGAATGACTTTAACACAGTGATGAAGTCGGTGATGTCATGTCTAAATGTCTAAAAAGAGCTCATCTTCATGAGTCCTCGTCCTTTTCTGTGATTTGTTCTTCTTAGGGCATCAGCAGAAAGTGAAACAATGGCCTTAAAGATTCATGAGATGAAGTGCAGAGTCACGAGACAACTCTGGTTCCTCAATATTCTTGGTGACGCATCGTAAATATAGAGCTGCTGACAATCCATCCATCCTCTACCGCTTATCCTTGTCATAGGACAAGAGACGGGGTACACCCTGAACAGGTTGCTAGTCTGTCACAGGGCTAACAAATTGAGACAGACAACCATTCACACTCACATCCACATCTATGGGCAATTTAGAATCACTAATTAGCCTAACCCCACTAACTGCATGTGTTTGGACTGTGGGAGGAAGCTGGAGTACCCGGAGAGAACCCATGTAGACACGGGGAGAACATGCAAACGCCACACAGAAAGACCCCAGCCAGATGGTGGAGTCGAACTTAGAACCTTCTTGCTGTGAGCCAACAGTGCTAACCACTGCACCACCTTGCCGACCAGAACTGCTGATAAGTAAAGCTTTATGCAAAAGGGAGAGAGACTAGCGCTTCTGACAAGAGGACAACAACAACCAGATTTAGTAAAAAACCTTAACCTCACAGCCATGCACTCATTCTCTTAATGTACCCTGACTGTCTTTCATTAGTGAGATGATGTGAAACAGGGCTTACATCTTCAGGAAAGATGTGTAATCGCTGCATCATGGTGCGCCGGTGCAGGTTCCGAGGCAGCATGCCGTAAACTGCTAACCTTACGATCTGGAGAGAAGGAGGACAATGAAAATATCGACATACAAATAAAAATATTTTCAAAAGTCTGTGTTTATAGCAACAAATTTTCTGTTTTTCTTATATTTTCTTCTAAATTGTTCCTCAATGCGAAGCAGGTTACACAACTTGGATGAAGTTACTGGATTGAGAGAGATGTTGGACAGACGCAGTGCTGACAAATCATTTATGTGTCCAAATCTATTTCTTCCTCTTCGCACGCCAACCCTTCAAATGTCACATCAACTAAATCACCTTCAGGATGCACGTCTGTGGTCGCTGACTGGCCTGAAACCAGCAGCTTAGTGCATGTCTCTTCTGGTTTAGTGCACTTCAGACTGGAGACCAGTGCAGGTCATGCACCTACATCCAGTCATTCCCGCATGTCAGGAGCAATTTTACGGTGTACTTTTAGCACACTAGCTGCATATGGGAAAAAAGTCTACAAACCCACAACTTCTGCAAAAAACAGACTTACTGAGTGCACCACTGCAGAGGCATGGGGATCCTTCACACAGCTTCAGGCGAGGCCTTAACATGCAAAACTCACTTTTATATATTTAAAATTTTAAAAAAAATGTTTGATAGATGTCTGGGGGGAAAAAATCATGATAGATATTCTCCAATACTTAATGGATTTAATATTTAATGAAACAGAAAATGCTGTAAGTATGGGACTGACTATAGTGAGGCAAGTACTTGAGTTACGACTATGTGCACTTCTTTTCACCCACTGATGTCATTTTTGTAACGTTTGAATGAGGACCTGTGGAGATTTTCTTTCCCTTATATTCATATTTATTCATTTATATCTTCACCCCGTCTGTGTGCCTCGAGTTCATTCATCATTTTCTCATCATTTCTTTTCAAAAACATTTTTTTCAAGGGTTAAAAAAACCTTCCTAAAACAGCTGGATGCTGTTATTTTCTAATCACCTCTAACCAGAAGTATTGAGGTGTTCAGGGACTGTGTAGAGGTGCAGAATAATACACATCTGGTTTTCTAGTAAGTGTCCCAGATGAATAAGGGAGCAGCTGAATGTATCTTTTATTTTCAGTGTGTAAATGGTAAACGGGCTGATTCTTGTATATCACTTTTCTATTTTATTTGTGCACTCGTAGCTCTTTCTCCTACGAGCCTCACACACACACACACGCACGCACTTTTTATACTTTAGAGCTTTTATCTGTCACACATGGACTCTCCAGCGGATGCATTGGGGGTAACTTGGGGTTCAGTATCTTGCACACTGGAGGAGCCGGAGCCTGGAGCACCAACCAACTACAGTGCCCATTTTGATTATAATGACGTGAAACCAGAGTACACATTTGTGTCAGGACTGATTCAATAAAAAGAATCAATGACCCTCACTAGAGTTATCCTTCAGCTCCTGTTCTGTTGTTGTTCCTGTTTTTTGACTCGCTGCTAAGTAACACAGGAGTTTGCATCATTTGTTAAATACAGTATGCAGGTCACAGTAAGTTTGCCTGGAATAATCATGGATGCATGTAAAATATTATGTAAAAAAGCTGCCACACTGGGCTCTACTCTTCCTTCTACACAGGAGAAGAGTTCATTACCTTGAAATCATAAATATGCATCACAACCAAAATCCCAAGAATTATCCTTAAACTGACATTCTTGGTCTGAGTTTCAGAAAATATCAAAACACCTCCATCAACCAGCACAAATCCACTGCTGCTTAATCCCACTCCTCAGCACTTTATATTAATATGCATGAGCAGCACATACGAGGAAAGGGATGAGTGTCAAACCAGGAAGCACCTCCACTGCAGAGCATGTGGCACACTTATCTCTGTGTGGTTTAATTAATCATACCTACAATATAATCAAATTCTTGGTGTGAGCTAAGGTTTAAAATTCACTCTAAACAACGCAAAGAGGAGAACAGAAGCCAGCAGCACTTACAGCTTTTGGGTCCTTATGATGGAGCTGAGCAGCTGTGACTTGTTTGAATCCACCAGGGTACCTTTAAAAGAAAATGAATAAATTACGACAAATCTCTGCCAGTCCAATTTTATTTCATGAACTGAAATTGGCATTTATTGCTCTGATGATGCTTTTTTTAGTTACCAGTTCGGATTATTTTTTCAAATTAGCCCAACATCATGCTGTCCATTTTACAGAAATACACATGCTGAAAGCAACATTTACTGCAGTATTTATATGTTCATGTGAAAGCCAGCAGGCTCACTGAAAATCCAGAGGTAATTTTTAATTATAATGTTTTGTGAAGCAGTGGCTGCTGCTCTCATTAGGAGGCGTGTGTGGATGCAGACTTTGAGTCAGAAGAAGAGGGACTGTGACGTGAAACAATGAAACACACTTTATTCTAAATCTGAGGATTTCATGGCTTCTTTTCATACAACTGCCAGAAAAATGTTGCAGGAAGAAACTCGAAAATTCTGATTTAACTTTTCAGACTGAGCTTACACAGCAACAAAGTCAAATCAGACATAAACGAGCATTTCTGCTGTTCAGTGACCCAAAAAACCTCATTTACATCACTGTTGGCAGCAGACTAAACAAAGCTTTATGTAGGCCTCACTTTGTCCTGCTTTGAACTGGAAACATGAAATTAAAATCATGACAGATGGCACTATACACTTACCCCGTGTGTGATGAGTAGACTTTCTGTTCCCATTTGTTCCCAGAGAAAGCTATGTGTTTGCTGTTTATTACCACCACATGGTCACCACAGTCACCTGTGAAGATGTTTGTTTTCAGGCTCAATGCATGATTAAAAAGCCACATTATTCTGTTTTAAAGAGAGGAAGACTAGCACATATAGCTGCTCTACCAATGATGCCACTACTAAGAGCAGCAGCTACCTTGTGAGACTAAGGCTTAGCTTTACTAAAACATATTGTTATTCCAAAGTATAACTGAGAAGGAAGGGAAAAACATTTTTAAAGCTTGTCCTCTGCTGCCACCATGTGGCAGTGCTATATAAAAGTAGATGTTTCTGTCATAATGTCATAATCCAGACGAGGAAATCCCAAAAACTGATTCTGTTTAACTGGATGTAGTGTTTTCAGTGGTAGAAATGTTTCATCGCTCATCCAGTCTCAGCTGACTGCAGGTTTCCCCAACCTTATAAACAGTACATTTGCACAATGACTGCAATTAGCACCACTGTAGAATAATGGGTAAAGTTCTCTTAAAGGAGAACTTTAAGAAATAAAGTTCTCCTTTTTACTTCAAGTGCTGCTTCAGCTTTTACTTCTGCAGTGCTGTACCACAACATGCTTAAACTAAGGGTTTGTTGTGGTTTAAAAACAATACTTCATATATACACAATGAAACCGTTAAAGTGAGTTACAGTGAGAATTTGTTCATGACTGTCTGGTGAGTGTGAGATGGAGTTCCTACTCACTCAGAGCATGGTAGATAGGTTTGTGTTTCCCCTGTAATCTAATAGAACACATAGTTGCAATCTTCCCAGGCGGCTGCATCCTGGCATCAATCAGGAACCAGGAACGGGCAAAGGTCGCCCATTGCTGAACGAAGTCAAGGAGAAAAACTTAAATTACATATGCTAACAAGCCGAGCCATCACAGCATCAGAAACCAAAGAAGGCCTGTTAATTTTCCAAGCTCCAAAATTGTAAAGATGGGCAGCTTAAAATAATGGACATGCCAAACTGTCCCCTTCAAACTATAGTTGGCAAAATGTTTATTCTTCCTTGTAGACAATTTTAATATCCTAACCTTTCAGCAATTAGTCAGCTGCTAAGAGAGAAAACAAAGGTACTGGACGTCTTCTGGTTTCTTCTGATATCTTTCTCCAAAACACTTAACCTGACCTGTCCCTCATTTCTAATCTTATCTATCCTGGTCACTCCAAACAAAACTTTCAGCATCAAAACTAAAAACCACACATCATAACAAAGTCTCGCTACCATCTTGTAAACCTCAGGGTAAAAAGTGATTGCCAGTGTTTGTATATATTTTTTTAATGTCTACGTTATAATCAACCCAATCCATTCTCCCAGTTAAAATATATTTATAGAACTGGTGTCACAACAAGACATTTGTAACATTTGTAACTGAGCAGCTTCTACCTGGTTACAGAAATACTCTTTCTGGTTCAAAATGACAAGACATATTTGATGAGATAAAATATAGATCAATAAATCATTTGGAACAGGTGAAATGCATTTTCTGGTAAATACAGGTGGCACATGATCATCATTTTTTAAACACTAGATCATGTGTTTAAATTATTAAAGTATTTCTTACTTCTTACTACAGAGCCAAGTAAGAAGTAAGATGGAAATGGTGGCGAGGATTAAATCTCATATTAAGCCACAACTTAAGAGTCTGTAGAAGAACTGTTTCAAACAGCTAGCATCAAAATAGCAGTATAGCAGCTCTCTAGGCTAAAACCATATGAGAAACGACGTTATGTCAAAGACTAGACGTTTTAAGTGGTACATTTCACTAACTGATGGTTAGAGTTATAGTAAATGGACAATAAGACCTTCGATTTCTTTTAGAAAGCCTCTTAACTACTGGAGGCAGTGCACTCGTTCACAGCTAGCTGTTAAAATTTCTCTCATGTAACAGTGTCAGTGCCGTTTAGCGACGCTAGCTAACAGCAACCGCAACCATTAAATAACAAAAAATACAAACATAAGGTGGAACTAATGCAGCCCACAGCGTCTCAGATTACCTGTGCAGATCTGGAGAAACTGGACATTTTAGATTAAACTACTAGCGCATCCTCTAAATAGTTGACCCCAACGTGAGCTTCGGTCCGCTACGAAATTATGTTCGGTTGAAATAAGATATTTTTAAGGGTTCCTAGGTTCCAAATTCATCTATATTTATCGTGAGCTCATGTAGTGTCCGGCACTATTGTATATTCACGATTATACATATTTTAACTGACAGTATAGCTCGATATTTAGCTAAAAATTAGCTTCAATTATAATTCTGTAATATTTAGTTTCTACCCGGTGGTATTTTTACGTGACATCTTAACGTGGTTACCTCACTTCCTTCTCGCGAAAGAGAGAGCGGGGAAATTTGACGGCCCTTCTTTGGCAGAGTGATCAAATTGCTTTGACTTGTTTGTTATTAGAAAAGGAGTATTTGCTTTGGTTTGTTTCCCTCTGTAAAACGTTTGGTTATTGTTGGCCATTTATTGCCGTCTGACTGACAATGAGGACTTTAGAGGAGGTGCGGGCCACTCTGCAGATCGCCAAACTCAAAGAGGAGGACTTACAGAAAACTATCCACTGTCTGTCCTTTGGGCCAAACGTTTCATCTGCGGACTACTGCCTGATGGAGCTCGACGACACACTCTGCAAACACATCGAGGCTGGCCAAAGGTAAAGCTGATTGTAGTGAAAATTCCCGTGAAGAGACTGACAGCAAAGAAAATGTTCCTCTGCTAGTTTGGGGAACAAGTCAACAACCTTTCAAAGTTATTGTGGATTTAGGTTTTAATGATTGATTAGTGAAAGTGTAGGAACTACAATTTTCTGCTTCAGAAAATCAGAGCTGAAGTGCAGGGTGGACGTGCATGTAGCTATATGTAAATATAAACTAATTGACCACTTTTTTTTAGGTATACCTGTTCAACTGCACATATAATGCAAATATCTATTCATAGCAGTAGCTCAGTGCATTTAGGGATGTAGACATGGTCAAGATAACCTCCTGAAGTTCAAATTGAGTTTTAGAATGGGGAAGAAGGGTGGTTTAAGTGACTTTCAACATTGGTTGTTGGTGCCAGACAGGTTGGTCTGAGTATTTCAGAAACCGCTGATCTACTGGGATTTAAATAGAGTGGCCTGAAGAGAGATAATATCCAACGAGTGGCTGATTTTCTGGGAGAAAATCCCTTGTTAATGTCAGGGAACAAAGGAGAATGACCACTTAAAGCTAGCAGGAAGGCAACAGTAACTCAAATATCCACTTGTGGCAGCCACGGTCTGAAAAAGAGCATCTCTGAATGCACAACAGGTCAAACACCGAAGCAGATGGAGTACAGCAGCAGAACACCACACCAGGTGTCACCCCTGTCAGCTAAGAACAGGAAACTGAGGCTACACTTTGCACAGACCGGTCAAAATTGGACAACAGAGTTGAAAAACATTGCCTGGTCTGAATACTCTCAATTTCTGCTGTCACATTCAGATGGTAGGGTCAGTATTTGTCTTGAAAACAGTTCAGACTTGTGGTGGTTTTGTAAGACAGGGAGAGATATTTTCTTGACACACGTTAGTGCTAAAGGACCATCGTTTAAAAGCCACAGCCTACCTGAATATTGTGGCTATCGATCCTTTCGTGATCAGTGTACACATCTCGTGATGGCTGCTTCCAACAGGATAACATACAAAAACTCAAATCATCTCAAACTGGTTCCTTGTATCCACAGTCACCACATCTCCACCCAGTAGAGCACCTTTGGGATGTGGTGAAACAGGAGGGGTTGTTATTATGGATGTGCAGCTGACGAATCTGCAGCAACTGTATGATGCCAACATGGACAAAGAAATGTTTCCAGCAACTTGTTAAATCCAGTCCATGAAGATTAAAGGCAAAAGGGTCCAGCTAGGCAAACTTGAAAGTTAAGTTTACCTGGTAATAACTAATAACTAACTTTTTTTCCTCTTTGCCAGTCTAGTGATTCGGGGCGATAAAGACGAACATGCAGTGGTTTGTAGCGACGACAAGACCTACAGTCTAAAAATAGCTGACACATCCAACCTGCTGCTGTTTCTTCCTGGATGCAGAACACCAGACCAGCTGACCGACACCGAGGACAGCTCTCATGTTGTGCACGCTCAGGTAGGACCTACACGGGTGTCTTTCTTTGACTGACAAGCACAAACTTATAGTCGGTGCATAACAATAGATTCCTGTTGCAGATATGGGGGTTTTGTAACAGCTACTGGGAACTGAGGAAACAGCGACCAAGACTGAAGAAGCTAAAGAGGCTTTTAATGGAAAATCCTTACGAAGGACCTGCGTTAGGAGGGCAGCAGGAGAATACAGAGAACAGGGTGAATACACCCCGTTAGATCTTTTCATGTCGATGCTGATGTTGCTGTAGCTGTTAGTAACCAGTTTGCCCTGTTCCCAGTACACAATGCAGGATCTGCTGGAGAGGATTCAGGCCAGTGAAGAGGAGATAAGGACACACTTAGAGACCATCCACGCCTGTCAGATAGATGGTAAACAGTGACGTCATTTTTATTTAACATCATGACAAAACAGATAGCTACCAGCTCTTCAACAAGAGCATCCTTTTTCCTTCCAGGCTACTGGCGCGTTCTGGACTTTGACTATGAGATGAAGCTGCTTGGTCATGTGACTCAGCTGGTGGACTCTGAGTCTTGGGCCTTCAGCAGGGTTCCCCTTCAGACCAGTTTAGATGAGCTGGCCCCACTCGAGCCCAGGTCTGTGATCCTTATCTTCACCTCCAGAGATCAACAAATAGTAACATAAAGATGCAGATGGAGTAAAGTTGCAGTGATTGTTTTTAACATACCCAAGTGACACAGTTTAAGAGGCTATAGTGACTTTCTGAGCTTGTACTTTATGGCTACATAGTGATGTTTCCTTTTCTGTTCACAGAGAGATGATCGAGCACTGTTTGAACTGCTATGGGAAACGCTATACTGAAAATGGTGAAAATTTGACCTTCGCACCACAAAACTAGAAGGATTGCACACAATTCTCAGCTGCTTGGTAATGAAATGTGTTTTGTGTCCTTTATCTATACAGATGAAGTGTTTTATGCACTAAATGAGGACAAAGTCTGTTGGGGTATAGCACTGATGCTGCTGCACAATGCTGTCAAGTTCAACCTGAAGGAGTTTCAGGAGGTCTGGCAGCAGAGCGTCCCAGAGGGCATGAGTACAAGACTGGACCAGCTAAAGGTGAACCTGTACACCTTTTATCCTTTATGATGTATTCAGAGTGAGAAAAATGTTGGGAGTTAGAATATAAGCTGTGTATTTGGGCATTTTCATTGTTTTTAATTAAGGAAATCCTCACAGGCTTGGCATTCACTTATCCATAGGATTCCCCAGACATATCTTTAGTTTACTGAGTTTTTCTCTGTTTCTCTCTTAAGCCAGTGTGTATCCCGTTGTGTTTGAGAAGCTACTTTCCAGAGTTTAGCTTAGTTTCCTGACTGGTGTTGTCTGTATTGTATATCTTCCAGGGCATTGCCCTGTTGGACCGCACTTCCCGCCCGGAGACCATCTGCCTGCTGCGTGTGGAGGACCTCCCAGAGGACACGGTGGAACGCTTTAACCACCTTTTTACACTCCGAGAGAAATGGACAGAGGAGGATATAACACCATACATACAGTTAGTGTTATCCATACAAATTATTAAGGGCTTTAATTAAAGAAACACAAAGAGCTTCTGAGTAACCCGAGTCCCATTTTTTGCTTATTACAATGTGTAACGCTCCATTTCCTCATCCAGAGATCTGTGTGGAGAGAAACAGACCACCGGAGCCCTCCTGACCAAATACGCTCGGTCTTCAATGCAAAATGGGATCAAGGTTTTCAACTCCAGAAGGCCCGTGGCTACGTGAACACCCCCACTGTAAAGTTATTTTTACTGTTTGAAAATGTATCCATGTGAATCTGTTCATTTCACCCTGTCACTTTTTTGATGCTCTGTGAAAATCTGTTTGCTAAAAATGCCTGTTAGCACGTTTTCAGCTGCTCCTTTTTATCTCATGTGTAAAATCATTGAATAATAAAGTTATCAGAAAAACAAGTTTTTGTTTTCTGTTACTTAGACCCTTTTTTATTGTCGGCAGGTTAATGCAATGTTGGAATTGTCCACAAGGTGGTGCCATATGCGGAGTAATATACAGCTGTCAAAAGTTTATGTCCACTCATCTTAGGGATGAATGTCATGGTAACGATTTCTGGGTTTTAATGATTTCTTTGACGTGTTTCTTTTCCAGAGTGGACTGACTGTACAGAAAACATCATTAATGACTTTCAAAAAGAATTGTTTGCACAAGTTTGAATTTATTTTAGGTTTTCTTTAATCCACACAGGGTCAGACGTATACATATAGAATAAAATATATATACATACCCCCACTAATATTTTGTTATAAATCCCTTGGCAACCAGTCACTTTTGAGAATTCATCAATACACTTCTGGCTTCTTGATCTTTGACCCACATTCTTGGCAGAATTGGTAGAGTTCATTTAAATCAGTTGGTTTCCCAGCACAGACTCGGCTTCTAAGCATAGTCCACAAATTTTCGGGTTGAGGCTTTGGGAAGGTCATTCCAAAAGTTTAATGTTAGCCTCCTTATCCTTTCCACAACCAGTTTTGTTTTGTGTTTGGGACCATTATCCTGTTGGAAAACCTAACTATATCCAGGTTTTAACCATCTAGCTGTCAATCTGAGGTGAAGTTGAAGAGTAGTCCTCCATAATTTCATGCACTTTGTGAAATGTACCGGTAGGAAAACAGCCCAGAGTATGATGCTACCACCAACATGCTTGACAGGTGGTATGTTCTTAGCTTTGAAAGCCTCACCTTTACTCCTCCAAAGGTACCGCTTGTTGTGGCCACACGGCTCTTTGTATCGACCACAAAATCTTTCTCAAGAACACTTTTGGCTTGTCCATGTGGGCAGCTGCAACTTTCAGTCTCTCTCAAAGACATTTGTTTTGGAGCAGGGGCTTTTTTCTTTGTCGGCACCCTCTCAGTCCAGTAAAACTTACTTCACTGTGGACCGTCACGCTGGTGTTTCAGTAGTTTTCAGTTCATGCCAGGGTTGAGCTTTGGTGGTTCCTGGGCTGATCCTGAACATCCTAACCAACCTCCAGTCATTTGAGGGCGACAGTTTGGGTCTTCTTTGAGATCTTGGTGACAAATCTTAAATACAGTTCTTTGAAATGCTGATCTTGAAATCTGTAGTTGTTTAGAAATGGCTCCAAGAGACTTTCCCAACTTGTGAAAACCTATAATTCTTCTTAGAGATTCCCTGAGTTCCTTGGACTTTCCCAGTATTGGCCAATCCAGTGAGTGCTGTTGATCAAATCCCTTTTATATTGGCAAAGGCAAACCACAAGTTGTGGTCAAGCATGAGCACTAATGAGAAGTTAATAGGCTTTGGCCATGTCAAGTCAAAGGTTGTTGTAGGGTGCTGGTTTAGCTCACTGGATTAATCAGGGAACCCATATGCTGCTACGGCTAGTACAGAGAGCTGGTTGAAATCTGACCATTTGCTGCATGTCTTTCTCCTGTCATAAAGGCTAAAAAGCAAAAAGACAAGTCGTAGCACCACTTATTAAAAGATTTAAGTCAGTGTAGAAATAAATGCAAGCCTGTATCTGTACTTTTGACCCTGAGTGGGTTAGAGAAAACCCAAAATAGTTTCAACCTGTTTTTTAAAAGTCATTAAAGATGTATGCACTACAGTCATTCCACCATAGAAAAAGAACATCTCAAAGAAATGATGAAAAGCCTCAAATTACCATGACATTCATCCCCATGATGAGTGGATGTAAACGTCTGACCACAACTGTACATAAACCAAGCATGCTTTAATAAGTCTGGTTCTCCAAAGTAAACAGATTACATTTGAAATTGATTGTTTTGATTCGCTAGCCTGCCTGATGTCTTCTGGTTGATTAAGACTATCGGATTACTCCAGAAAGGAAATGAATATGTTTCATGTTTGGACAAAAAAAGACACATGTTAAGCACAGTGTCATGGTTTACAGATTTGCTTAACAAATGAACGATCAGTTTGATCTTGGATACTTTTGACCGGATCTGATCCTGGGAGGAGACACAAAACCCTTTGGGATTGTGCCAGGAAGGGCATCCGGCATAAATATCAGTGGAGCTATCTGCTGTGGTAACACCTCGTGAATAAGAGGTCACAAGCAATTGACAAAGCCTTTGCCATTTTCCTTGCAATATTCCAGCTAGCCAATTCACTGGTAAGCAAAATAAAGCAACACTGCTCGCTACATCATGGAATAATGGCGTCCATTCGGGATGAATATTTGAGGATACTGAAATTCAGTTAAGCAGGATAAAATAAATTCAGAAAGCCACACGGCTTTAAATAGGACACGTCAGTGGCACATATGTTTAACTCGAGCATGCAAAACACCCACAGATGCAGACTGTTCCTTCATTACCACAACTGTCTGAATGTGAGTCAGTGTTAGTGACACATGAACATCTCACCAGACACGACACAAAGCTGATAATTTCCGTGTTTCAACACACGCTGAGTTTATCTGGCTGGCTGACTATCCTTGACTTCACCCACTGGAAGTGCTGACTTGTCAGTGCATGGGGTAAGAGATCCCAGCTGTGTTTGTTGCAGCTGCTGTGATGGTCTACATAACACGCACAAAGTGATTAATAATCTTTACTTCCTCTCCTCCCATGTGTGATCCACCATCATATCTGCTCCTGCTCGTCTATTCTGCTTTCTTCTTCTTCTTTCTGTGAACTAGATGTGTAGTGTGATTTGCTCTGGTGTCATTCTTCCCCCTTTTTTCACAGAAACAATGTTAAAAGAAAGAACTGCAGCTAAAGAGAAGATGGGTGTTAATGTGTAGTACGATCAATGTCAGCTGTTACTTAAACTGAAACTGGCACTGGGGGAAATACAAAGACTCTGAAAATACTTAGAAAAATTAACCACAAATGATTTTTTTTCTTAAAGTGAAAACCATTACAGCTTTTAAAGGTTCCTTAAAGAAGACTAGAAACAGAGAAAGACGTGGACTCAGGAGTTCCCCAACTTTGTAGTCCATTTCTTTAATTTCACACACCTTAAACAAACCTCCTATTGCACATAACATTACAGTACTCAGATCTATATTTTATCCCTCCTTGTCTACAATAACCCTAAATTTAAAAACATATTCATTAAAAAAACTATTTCTCCTCCTTCATAACATAATATACTCTTCTGTGTTAAAAATCATTATGTAAAAGCATCTCTTTGATACGAAGGAGTATTAGGGCCACATTAAGAAAAACATGTATAGATCATTTTGAGAATAAAGTTAAAATTTCGAGTCGAAAAACTTTTTCATGGAAAAAAAAAGTCATAATGTGAATATTACAGTTGTTTCAAGACAAACTGCCATGGTTGCTCTACCCTCTGCTTCAGATTCAGTTTTAGTAACAATAAAGGAAACAGCACACAAACACAGTGTGGTTGATAAGTATAAAGATGGTGCAGAAAGCTGCATGTGGTCAGATGGAAAAAACACAAACTCGGAGGAGTGGATTTGTGCAAAATGAAATAGCTGTTAAGCTTTTATCGATGGTTATACTGTCGTGCAAAAAAGAGGATGTATGTTGTATCACAAGACGGCTGATCAGTTTGTGTCACTAACTAATCTACACAAGGCATTTTGTAGATGGTATAGCAAAGGTGGCAGTTTGTCTTGAAACAAAAAGAAAGAAATCATTTTGAACAGAATGTCAGTTTTTCATCTGAATGGACTTTGGATCAAGTCCTTTTTAGAAATATAATTTAACAAGAGTTTTGCTTTATGTAAAGATGTACAGTTCACAGCAGGTCGTGCTATCTGGGCAGCATTTCCTGCAGGTCTGCAACAACATAAGCAACCACGGCCCACAATGCCGAGCAGAGGTCCATGTCTCGAGGGTCCTGGACGCTCATGGTGTCGCCTTCACTGTGGTGGAACCAAAAGTAACGGCTGTCTGCCACGTGGAGGCTGGCACCTGGATGACACAGGGACAGAATGATGCACAAAGAGCGTCACAAAACATGCTGGAAAATCTGAAACTTCAGCTCTGGAAACAGTTCTGGACTCAGAGTTTCGCAGCTGTAAAGAAGCATCGTCATTGTGTCTGATTTATTCCTTTAGAATATTTCGCTTTATGACTGGTCACAGCTGTAATTTGTAATTTGTGTCCTTGTAATTTGAAACTAACGAAAACCACCAAAGGAAAAAAATCTGCTCTGAGCCTCAGTTTACATTCAAATTTTATATCGACTTCTTGTCTAAGCTATTAAAAATGCTTTGCTTATGTTTATGTATTAGAAAATGTTGTATTTACTGTGTACTCAAGGCTTTAATTTAGTTTGTGACCTAGAAATCATACTAAACCTATATTTAGTAAGTGACATTCAGTTAACAAAGGATTTTCTGAGCTAATAGCTGAAAACTGGGCATGTTTCGACATGTTTTACAAGCGTTTACAAAAGAAGATGTGGCAGGCCTAAAAAGAAAAAAGAAAAAACTATCAGCAGATGCAGAAGCCTCATCAGAAATGGTCTCAGTGGAAGAATGGCTGTCAAGAAGCCATTTCTAAGGAAGAGAAACAGGGAGAAAAGGCTGACGTATGCTAAATTACACAAGTACTGTGATATTTAGTTTACACAAGAACTGGATGAGAACAGAGGAACAGGCTCTGATGGAGTGATGAATTCAAATTTTAAAGTTTTGTTCAAATCATCATCAATTTGAGGTCAGCAGAGACATACAACAGTGAGTGTTTACAGCAAAACACGGTGGAGTCTCTCATGGTTTGGGACTGAATTTCAGCCAGTGGTGTTGGAGATCTTATCATAATTGATGGAATTATGAATGTAGAAAAGTGCAATCACTATGCAATACCATTGGCCTCCCCAGACCTCAACAATACTGAAGCAGCGTGGGATCATCTTGACAGAGATGATGGGAGAACTGACAAAAAGGCAGTCAACATCCAAAGAAGAGCTTTGAATGTTCTTTAAGAACCATGGAGAACTATTCCTGAAGACTTCTGAAGAGTTCGGGTTGCCAAACCAAATATATATTTAAACTTGTTAGAATTTTGCAAACTCTGTTTTTGCCTTATATAGTATATTTCCATGTATGTTTGTGCTTGCCTCATCAAATCACTGCATTAATTTCCCATTTTCCAAGCAAAATATAAAGAAATGAGGGGTAAGTTAGTAGTGTACATTAGTTTTGTTAATGTTGTATTGTATATGAGTCTGTATGTAATGCGAGAGTTACTTTATCAGCTAAAAACACACGTATAGGTTTAACAGATTTGTTGTAACAAAAAGTTCTATTATGGTGACTATTTGCTGTTCTTCTTTTCTTTTATAGGGTGTAGTAATTGTTATTCTGCTTTTTATACACTTGTATTCATTGAAGGAACCGCAGACTACTATTTTCTAAAACCATTTAAAGGCCAAGATGACCCTGCTTGTACTTGAGTTATTCTTTATAATGTTAAAGTCTTAAAATCTCCACCCATTCCCTAAATAAATCTTTTAGCTTCCATCCAGATTATTAAAAAAAATTCCCACTGCTAGTAATGCTGACCAGTCACTCACAGACACGTGAGTTCCCTTTAAAACAGTGTGGCCCCACATTTATCCAAAATTAGCAGAAAGTTCTGCTTAAACATCACTTCAAGGTTAAAATGTAGGATATAATGGAAAAAATATAATCCTGTGTCACATTGGTGACCTGTCCAGGGTGCACTCTGCCTCTCCCCCTATGGTAGCTGGGATAGGCTCCAGCCATTCCTGAAATTCTGATAAGGATAACAGGACAATAATTGATTGATGAATAGAAAAATATACATTTATATGGGAAAGTTTAGGAATGCTAAGCAAACTGTAACATACCTGAAACTCGATGAATACAAAGTGTGAAATGCATACAAACTGAAATAAGATGTGAAAGGTCAGAGAATGTAACACATATCCTAATAAACAACTAAACTGTTTTGTTTTTTTAATGTATTGATTTTTTTTAATCAATTTCATCAAACTATAATAAACTGCAGTAAACAGAACCTGCACTACATAATACGGTACTGTAGATGGCAGTGTAAAAAACAGAAATCTGCCCAGAAACAAACAGAAGAACCCAGAAACAGTTTGGTTTTGGTTAGCGGTGTCAGTCACGTCGAGGAGGTGTTATTTTCTTCAATGCAAACGTAAACTCCCTTTGTATACACTGCCACAGGAAGACGAAGTGAAGGAGCAGTGGTTAAATTCATTTTCACTACTATTCCTCAGCAGTACAACCCCAACCGCGTATAGTGCTCATTCATTTTACCGAGAGCTGCTTCCTGAAGCGGTTCAATGCTGGATTTTCGCAGTGGTTAGTCCTGAAAGACGAGTCAGTTCCCACTTTGCTGGGAAAATCTGGAGAGTCATGAGTGAGTGTGCTCTGTTATATTTTTACTGTTGTTACAGTGCAGAGCTGCTTGTGTAGCAGCAGTAGAGCACTGTAAAATAATATAAACCTGCAAATAAGCCCATTTAAAAATGTGTATTGCTTTAATTTAACCATCCGCTCAATCTACCAAATTGAAAGAAGAACCCAATATAAGGCAATAATCCTGCAGGCATTTCCCACTAACACTTATTATAATGTTCACCCAACTCTGATGCTTGATGATGGTTGATGGTTTCAACATTGAATAACTGGAGTAGATATGCAGTGCAGATATCCATCGGTCACTTCTTCCCAATCAAAAAGAACATCTCATTTAACCCTAACACGTGATAAATGACTCATGGCCCTCAAAAAACAGCAGGTGAACGGAAACACTGACGT